TGTCACTATCACAAATGATCTCTTGCCATTAATGCAACACTGCGAGTTTGTTCCATAATCCGCGAACGTGCTGATCCGCAATAATATTATTACATAAGGACAGCCGACTAAGATCATTCGCTACTAATGTACTAACCGTGTAGCGTGGCTACACTCCGCGGTGGAAGTAAGGTGAGCTTATCTTTTGGATTTCTGTCATTTTCGTACATTTCTGATATAACGTCAGAAAGGCTAGAGCGGAAGAGGCGCTTGGTGGGATAGTGTGCAATCAAGAGGCTTTGAACCACTTTCAGGCCTTCGAAAACGACGAGTCCGTCGAAACGTCGGCCAGAATAAATATTTCCACCTACCAACCTCGAGGCAGAAGCAAAAACTAACGATTTCAAGAACATTTACTACTCTTTATTTTTACTTGAAATAAACATCTGAAAAACTACACCTTGAAACCCATTTTCAAAAAGGAACTTAGTGATATGAAAATCACCTAACGATTCGCGCTCTGAATTAACAGCTTCAGCGCAAATCTTCTTCTCCTACACTCGGCCACCGACATAGCCATGTGGCTCGAGTGGCCGAGGCAGCATATTGATTGACTGCTTGCTTGCTTTGAAGTGCGCCATGATCTAACACCCTTGGAAATTTGCACTTGCAACTGAATGTGTACATATCGTATAGGCATCTGTTCCAATAAACCAGATCATTTTGCAGAAGAAGGTGGTTCGTTCCTACCGCGGTCAGAAAGTCATACTTTCGGATTTCACACAAAATTATACGTCTTTTCCCAAAAGGTGACTGGTGGTGGGCAGGACCACGTTCCTGCTCTTGGCTCGCTCTATATCCGCATTTGACCATTTAATGAATTTTGTACTAATGAATGCGTAAGAACATCAAACATGAATATCTTACAATTTCGAAAGGGAATGCATGTCTTCAGTGAGAACTACCCCATAACAGAGCTTCATTGAAGTGTATCTATTGTTCGTGAGTATACTTATGTCGCCGGCAAAAATCTTACAACATTGACTATGTGCAAAATTTTCAAGCTCATTCATCAAAAAGTATAGCGAGTGCATTTGAATGCGCACATTGTAAAGCATTCTATAACTGCAGCACCATTACTAGGCAGGCTAATGTGCGACAAAACTCCTTCGGTAATTAGTGCAGGAGACGCTATGGTCGAGCTAAAATATTTGGTGTCAGTTCGATGTGCTGTAACCAGCTCTTCGGGAAGACGGCGCATCATCTATTCACAGAAATGTATAAGGTGGAAATGATACAGATTCAATAGAAATACGGCCACAATTTTATAAAATGGAACTTGGAAGTATGACTCAGCCCCGGTGAAAACGAACCTCTTGTTCTGCGAAATGATCTGGTTTATTGGAAACATTTGCATATAAGAGATGCACACACTCAATTACAAGTGCAAATTTTCAAGAATATTCGATTATGGCGCATATCAAAGCAAGCAATCAGTCAATCAATATGCTGCCTTGGCATATTGATTGACTGCTTGCTCTAGCCAGCCACTTGGGCCTCAAGGCTAAACCTGTGGGCGATAGACGGAGTAGTGTAAAAAAATTTATGCTTTATTTGTAAATCCAAAGTGCGATTCATGAGGTGATTTCCATATTACTGAATGCTTTTTGAAAACGGGTTTTGAAGGTATGGGTTCTTAGATAATTACTTCATTTAACAAATGTGGCTCGGTCTCCTATGTCTTGGAGCGAGACCGGAAGCTATTCATGAAGCTCAAAGATCCATACAGTAGCAACTCTTCATATCCTCTGCTTATGCTTTCTCACAAAGAATTTAGTGTGAGTCCTCCCCATGGGAGGCGTAACTTACTCCTAAACATCGGAAATCTTACATGAAAAAGCGTGTTCTCTGTGAAAGTACGCCGCAAACCCGGAACTGGACGGTGAAATCGATTTCCCTCTCGAGCTCAGGCATACTATTATATTTACGAAGTATAGGGAAGGGGTGCTTCCGAAGTATAGGCATTTTGTCTACTGACACTAGAGATAAAGTCATATTTGCTATTTTTGATTTGAAAAATCGTTGTACTTCAAGATTGAGCACGGCTAAATTCGTCCACTTTGAGAAAAATGGTTATCAAAACGATCAGTAAAACATGAATGTTGCGAAAGAACTTTTTTGCTCAGTTTCGGAATAAGATAGCTGCTCACAACTCACTGAATACTTTGGAAAAGAATGCGTCCTGGTTACAATTACAGCAAGTGTCGTTGCTAATGACGTGCTTCCAGGAACTTCGATGGACGAAGGGTTTAAACTAACATAGTTATGAAGAAAAGACAGAAAAGACGCGAATTCGCGTTTTTTTGTGATTTTTTGAACAATTTGGGTGGGTATTGTACATATTACGTAGACGTTCCAAAAGAGATTCATTGCAAACTGGAACCGATTCGACATAATTTCTAAGAATACTTGGAATCATTCATGAACAGCAGTTAACGTTGACCGTTCATTATGGCTGATCAGCATTCTTAACAAATTTCGAAATGCTGACTTTATTTCCACTTACTTCTTGTTTCTCTCTTCTTTCACGAACTCATTTTTCTAAATGAAATTAAGATTTGACTTGATGTGTCGTGAATGACTGTTACTTAGCCGCACAACGCTATCAGAAATTCTCCCGATATTGATGACTCATGGATAAAACTTCGGTCTTAGACGGGACTCAAACCCCGCACATGTTCTATCCAGGCACCGTGCTCTTTTTTCCCGTTTGCCCTCCCATCCCCATTGCAAATATGTCAGCAAAATTAAGGTCGTCTAGCTAGATGGTGAAACTAGACAGAATGCGACTGTGTATTGATCCTTGCTCTTATGTTGAACTCAAGGTAAGACTGGAAAGCAGGGCGGTCATTCTTCTTTGCTATGAAGACCTGCGGCTCACGTCGGCACCACAACCGGACGAGCTCCGCTCTGTTAGCTAGAGTACCGTCCCGTTTGAAGTACCACGGGCTGTTTCAGAAAGCGTGGTCGGATCTATGCTTCAGTACATACATCAGCAGGCTCTTCTGAATGAACCTACTTTTTTACTTACATGCCGACACCAAAGAAACTACGGATGTTTTACCATAACTCCGTCAAAAAAATCAGTTTGTTATTCATGTAACAATTTTTTGTGATAGATTGCACTTTCGATTCTTCTATGCAGAGCCCCTTCGTTTCATTTCTCAAGGTTTGTCGTAACTTTTTTCTCGTCAGAGGATGCGATTAAGGGGGACATGCTCCAATTCGAATAGCGTAGCAGTCTTCTGAATTTTTTGGCCTTACCATTTCTACTGAGATCGGGAATGAAATGATTAACGACAACAGTAGCACTGAGCTTCCGCATGGCAATCCGCCCCATCGATAAATTCGATAAGTCCTGCTCCGTTGCCATCTTTTTGATGCGTCACCCAAGATTATGACGGACGCGCAAATGGACTATTTTGGGTGACCTTTTCTACCACTGGCTTTTCTATGCCTTACGGGTTCGTCTCCGGCTAATTCTGCCTCTCTCTACGTTTAAAAGCCTTCCGTTAGCGATTATTGAAAACGCAAGCAATTTTGCTGTGCCTTTCGCCTCTCGCAAGCAAGTGATTAGCCTTCACCATGCTAGAGATATAAGAAATCTACCTTGAATCACTGCATATTGCAAGAAAACCTACTTACGCAACCAAAGCAACCAAATAATAACGAATGAAGTGAAGTGAAAACCATTTCTTCTCCTAAAAATCCTGACTCCAAACCCTTGATTATGGAACACCCTATATACAGGATGTCCCAAAGTTATGGGCGCCAGAATGCAGAAACTGTTACGGTAGAAATAAGTCATTAAATTCAAGTTACCCGCAATTGGTTGGTTCCACAGGTAGGTCTTCTTTCAATATGCATGGTTACTGAAGTCAAAATTCCAATACCTTTCAGATAGCGGAGGCTCATTCAATGCCACTTGAAATCACTTGCATGCGAGCGGCGGAAGAGCATTGCGAAATTCTTTGGGATCCTTAATATAACTGTGATGAAGGCTATTAAACGATATAGAAAAGAAGGCTGAATCAGAGACAAACCAGTAAAGTTGGAAAAGGCCAATGTTTCCAAAGAAAGGACTACTGAAATGGTTCGTCTGCCAGTTGGTCGGGTTCCCGGGTGAGCCATCAGAAGGAAGGCAATGGGCACGGCATATCGGAGTTATCGCGTTGAAAGGATGTCATGCAGAAGCTTCATTGCCATTTCTATCGTGTGTGGAAATTTTGCTTCGATTCCGATCTCAACAGACCCTGCAGGGTCAAAAATGGAGAAAGTCGCAGACCTACTTGAGTAATGACACGCAAACCTTCATCGTTTTCTCTGGCCCAGATGTTTTTTTACGATAAAGCCATCCCTCAAAACCAGTGCTCAAATAGCGTACTGATGGGCGTAATGAAGAGTTGATCCGACTACAATTCCTGAAACATCTCATAGCCTTTCCAGCAAAACGCTACTCCAGCCCAAAGCAAAGCTTGCCCGCGAGTGGTGCCGGCGGCAGCTGCCCGACGGTAAAAAGTAATGACCATCCTATTTTCCAGAACTTGACTCACTTGACTCCCCCGTATGGTCCATGATAAGAAAAGGACCTG